AGAGAAAACATTTAATTGAAGGTAGCTGACTTACAGTTTCAGAAGTTCAGTCCATTATGATCATGAAGGAAAGCATGACAGCATGCAGACAGACATGGTGGTGGCTACATCTTGATCAGAAGTTGCAGCATTAATTTTCTTTGGTTTTAATAATAATAAAAACCCAGAGGCAGATATTGGGGTTAAAGCTTAAGATCAGAGAAGCAAAAGGGTCAGCCACTTGAGAGTTCTCACCTCTACCAATTCTTAGACCTAAGGGGCGATCCTGTCCTCAGACTGCATCCCCAGACTGCACTGCTCTCCACCAAACTTCCGAATGCACTGAGTTCCTGTCTCCTCTGGCCTTACATTCCTCTTAGTGCTGGGATTAAAGGAGTGGGATCCCAAGTGCTTTGTGTGAGCTCTGTTTCTCTTTTAGAATGGATCAATTTCTTGTAGCTCAAGGTGGCCTTGAACTAACAGATATCTGTTTGTCTCTGTCTCTCGAGTGCTGGAATTAAAGGTGTGTGCTACTACTGCCTGGCCTCTATGGCTAACTGGTGTGGCTAGATTTGCACTGTGATCTTCAGGCAAGCTTTCTTTGTTAGATCACCACACAGAAGGTAGCAGATAATCTACTGAACACCGAGTGAAGCTTGAGAAAGAGACCTCAAGACCCACACCCACAGTGACATGATTCCTCCAACAAGGCCACATATCCTAATAGTACTACTCCTTTTGGGGGCCATTTTCTTTCCAACTACCTCAATACACCAGGCTGGCCTCAAACTCACAGAAATCTGCCTGCTTCTGCCTCCTGAATCTGAAACCAACTGTACTCACTTCTTTTTCCTAACTAACAATCCTTAATCAGGCATGGTAATGTACATCTGTAATTTCAGCACTTTGAAGGCGGAGGCAGGAGAATGCAGGGCTTTACACACACACACACACACACACACACACACACACACACACACACACGGTGTGCGCAGGTTCACATGCCTGTGCATAAAGTATGGTTAGAGAAGGATGTGTCCTTCCTGGATGATGACAGGCAGGATGTCTCTGCCTGTGATCTCTATACCCCAGACTCATGACTCATTTCTTTAGTGACTGCAGATGTTGAACAAGAAAGAGGTTAGAAGGAGCTCAGAGTGAGATGCAGAAGCAACCAGAATGAGAATTATCATTCTGTATCAGTTTCTTTCTTTCTTTTTTTTTTTTTTCCCGAGACAGGATTTCTCTGTATTATTTTGGAGGCTGTCCTGGAACTCGCTCTGTAGACCAGGCTGTCCTCGAACTCACAGAGATCAACCTGGCTAGTTTTTTTGTTGTTGTTGTTGTTGTTTTGTCTCTTTTTTCTTTTCAGGATCTACTTCCTGGCTACAGAGCACAACCACTGAACTGTGACTTTTAAGACTGTTGAAGTGATGCCCTCAGGTCTTTGGCAGCCCAGCATATACCTGGGTGCTCTCCAGTTCTTCTTCTGTGCTCCATTCTGAACCCTGATACAATATCTTGGTTCATTTTCAATTCTGACTGTAAATGTCAAACCCTCCAGATTGCCACTGGGTGTACAGATGGAGCTCCAGGCCAGCCTCCAAAACAACACAGAGAAACCCTGTCTCAAAAACCAAAACCAACCAAACAAACAAAAACTAGCCAGGTTGGGGCTGGAGAGTTGGCTCAGGGAGAAGTTAAGAACATTGGTTGCTTTTTCAGAGAACCGGGTTCAATTCCTAGCACCCACATGACAGCTCACAACTGTCTGTAACTCCAGTTTCAGGGGTTCTGACACCCTCACACAATCATACAAAAGCAGTCTGTGGACCTATTATAACTTGTGCTATAGTAGTCAAAACACCAGTCAACCAGTCAATGCTCATAAAATTAAAAACAACAAACAAAAACTTATCCAGGTGTGGTGGTAGATGCCTGTAATCCCAGCACCTGAGCACTTTGGGAGTGTGAGGCAGAAAGATACTGAGTTTTCTGCCAGTCTAGGCTCTGGAGAGACAGTAAGATCAGGAATTCAGGGTTGGCTGAACTTAGTGGAACACTCATTTAATTTCAGTAGCTGGGAGGCAGAGGCAAGTGGATCTTTGAGTTTGAAACTGGCCTGGTGGTTTACTTAGTGAGTTCCAGGCCAGCTCTCAGGATACATGAGACTGTTAAAAAAAAAAACCACCATAAAGCTGGGCAGTGGAGGCGCACACCTTTAGTCCTAGCACTCAGAGGCAGAGGCAGGCAGATCTCTGTTTGAGGTCATCTTTGTCTACAGACTAAGTTCTAGGACAGCTAGGGCCAAACAGAGAAACCCTGTCTCAAAAAGCCACCCTCCCCACCAAAAAAAAGAGAAAGAAGAAAACTTTTTTTGGTCTTTTGAGACGGGGTTTCTCTGCGCATCTTTGGAGCTGTCTTGGAAGTCACTCTGCCGACTAGGCTAGCCTGGAACTCACAGAGATGCTCCTGCCTCTGCATGTGCCACCACTGCCTGGCTAAGAACACTTCTTGTTCTTGGAAGTTTGGTTCCTGGCACCCACATCAGGTGGCTCACAATCTTCTATGACTCCAGCTCCAGGGACTTGGGTACTTGTATGCACATACATAAAAAAAACTAAGTCTTTTAAAAACATCATTAAATCTTAGAATGCCCTCATGGTGTGGGGGGGATCCACTAAGGGTCTACAACCCTCTCATTTGAGGTTCTATAAGGAGACATAATGCAGCAAGTTCAGGAGCAGTAGTGGATACAGTGACCATCATTTTAAAAGTAGAAACAACCTTCTCTGCCTTTTGACCACTCTAGTAGAAGACAAATGAAAGGAAGACAGGATCAGGACCTACCTCGGGTGACTTGAAGTTAAGGGAATGTCCCAAAGGTGTGTGCTTCCCAATACCTACTGAGAGACTGAGAGGATGCAGGCTCCTAAAGGGGAGGGAACAAGCATACACTCTGTCCGCATTGACACAGGTGTCTGTTTCAAGTGAAAGGGTGTTCCAGTGCAGTGATCAACGAGAACACAGAAAGCAAGAAGCAGACGTTGTCTGAGAACCCTGAGGCCTAGGGATGGGAAATAGCTTACCCAAGGCTACACAGTCTGTTCCTAGTACAAGTAACTCTGTAATGGAGCTCTTTATCTTACAGTCCAGGGCTTTTACTGCAACTGTATCAGCTGGGATTTTAGTTGCTACAGAAGACTATTGGTAGTCTGTGATGGCAGCCTGGTCTGAATAGATCCAGTCCAGAGCTACACGGTGAGATCCTGTCTTACAAAACAAGAAAAGAAAAGATTTCCTGGGCTCCAGATGGGGGCACACATAATATGGGGAATCTATTAATTGAAAGACTGTAGGATTCTAGCCCCCCCTTTTCTTTCTGAGACAGGGTTTCTCTGTGTAGCCCTGGCTGTCCTGGAAGACCAGGATGGCCTTGAACTCACAGAGATCTACCTGTCTCTGCCTCCAGAGTGCTGGGATTAAAGAAGTGTGCCACCACTGCCCAGTGGATTCTAACACTTTTATGTTTTCCTAGACATCTGATTTCAAAGGGGTTCAAAGCCAATTATGGTCATGGAGTCTGGGGTCAGGTCTTGGGACTGGCTGCTCCAGTCTTCAGGAAGAATCATTTTAACACCTACTTCTATGGTTTTCAGGACAATAAATATAGCATTAGACAAAATTCAGAGTCTTTTTTTTTTTTTTTTGGTTTTTCGAGACAGGGTTTCTCTGTATTGTTTTGGAGACTGTCTTGGAACTCGCTCTGTAGACCAGGCTGTAGACCAGAACTCACAGAAATCCGCCTGCCTCTGCCTCCCAAATGCTGGGATTAAAGACGTGCACCACCAACACCTGGCACACCAGTTTTTTTCTTTTTTTCTTTTTGTTTTTTTCGAGACAGGGTTTCTCTGTGCAGTTTTGGAGGCTGTCCTGGCACTCGCTCTGTAGACCAGGCTGGCCTCGAACTCACAGAGATCTGCCTGCCTCTGCCTCCCAAGTGCTGGAATTAAAGGTGTGCACCACCAACGCCCGGCTCCACCAGTTTTTTTCTGAGACAGGGTCTTGCTATATATTACAGACTGAAATCAAACATGTCATAGAGTCTAGGATGATCTGACACTCTCAGAAGCTTCTGTCTCTGCCTCCAGAGTGCTGGGGATTGCAGGTGTGTACCACTTCATTCAGTTAGGAAGCCTATCTAATTATCTAATGTATCTTTGTGAATGTCTTTTCTCATATGTGGCTTGTCTAACAGGAAGATACACTATACATATTGTTGGAAAAATGACTGTTAGCTTCCTTACATTCTTCTTGGAATTGAGTGTAAGTGGATGTGCCGGAGTGCATGGTGTGTGTGTGTGTGTGTGAGAGAGAGAGAGAAAGAGAGAGAGAGAGAGAGAGTCAGAGAGAGAGAGAGTTAGAGAGAGAGAGACAGAGTCAGAGAGAGAGAGAGGGAGGGAGGGAGATATCTGGGCTTTAGCTCAAGATTTCTGGCTCCTTAAATAACAGGTGTGCAATCTGCATCAGATATTTTAGTTTTCTGGGTTGTAGTGGTCTTTTATTGACTGGTTCTCTACAATTCTGTATCTTTCCCACCAAACCTTTACTTTTTTGTTTGATGCAGCGTCTCATGTATCCCAAGTTGGCCTTGAACTGATCCTCTGTCCTAAATGCTGGAATGACAAGCATGGACTACTGGCTTTTTATTATTATTATTGATTTATTTTTGTTTTTTTGAGACAGGGTTTCTCTGTGCCATAGCCTTGGTTGTCCTAGAACTTAGTTTGTAGACCAGGTTGGCCTCCAACTCACAGAGATCTGTCTGCCTCTGCCTCCTGAGTGATGTGTGCCATGACTACCTGGCTCTAGGGGAGTGATTAATATGGATTCCATGAAACTATCATCTTCATTTACAGTTCAAATCAATGAGTGTTGTGTGACAAAACTTTTCCTGGGGAGATGCAACACACACATCTCCTCACCCCTGATAGGGCACTCATGACAGACCAAAGTTCAACTTGGTCAAACAATAAGTTTTATTGGAGTTGCTTAGGAATATAAAGGGTCATGAGAGGGGTTACTTACATGAGCAGAAAAGACTCAGAGACAGCTGCATCACCAAGGCCCTCCCTGGCCTGAGTAACAACTCACAGAACTGGGATTCCTGGAGAGTACTGCACAGCCTACAGGCCGCTCAACATTTTGGAGAGTGTCCTTTCCAGGTGATTCTGGTCCAGACCTCTTCTAGGCAGCTTGGCTGGTTTCAGAGTCTTTGCTGATTTTGCTCTTCAGAGTCTTTTTTTTTTTTGCAGCTTGGCCCTGGTCTTTTGAAAGGAACACTGAATTCTGGTAGGGAGGAGCCCAGTTAATCTGGTTGGTTTCAGGGACTTCTGAAGCCATTTTGAGTAGTTTATCTTTCTGCTTAGGGAGTTTCCCTGTAGGATGAAAAGTTCCCATCTTAGAGGAAATTGTTACACAACAGTGATAGATTTAGAAGTCTTCCACAAGTTTGCACATTTGTCTGGCTGTGTTGAGATTCTACAGGGAATATGGGTCATCAGTATTTTGCCATAGGCATCCTATTAATAACTCTATTGAGAGTGACTATTACCTAATTTTCACTGAGAAACTGAGGCTTAGCTTTCCCAAGGCTACACAGCTACAAAACACAGCTACGCTTCCTAAACAAGTCTTCCTGGTAAACTGTATATAGCTGAATTTACAACCCTAGCAGCTGGCTACCTAAGTTAAAGCCCCACTAGCCAAATACTGCCTTGTTGACATTATGTTGTAACTAAGCTTGTCTGTTCTCTCCTTTATAAACACGGAATGAGTAGGGTTGGATAAATGGCTAAACTGTTAAAGGCCAGGCTCACAACCAAAAATACAAACGGGAATGAGGATATACTAACCACATAGGATTGTTTTGATTAAGTACTAGTGTTATGATCTGGAAGATAGAGCAAGCACTCAAAAGGGATTAGGTATCATTGCTTCTGGACCACCAGTACTATCCACAGGCAATATAATGTGAATCAAACATAGTGAGACCCTGTCTCAAAAAGGAAAAAAAAAAAAAAAAGAGAAGGGGGAGGTAATTTAGTCATGTGTGGAGGCTCAAGTCTATAATCCCAGTAATTCGGGAGGCTGAAGCAGGACTGCCATCACTGTGAGTCAGGTGGGTGATACAAAGAATTTCAGGCCAGCCAGCGCTAAGCCGTTAAGACTCTTGTCTCAAACAAAACAAAGGTGATTTTTAAGTAACTGCACAGAAAAAAACGAACAAACTAAAAGCAGCCAACTATATAATCAGTTTTGCATTTACCAATGTCCCTTCTGAACTTGGTCCACTTTTCAAGGCAGCTCTAAACAGCTGCCCCGAGTCGCGCGCCCTCGGCTCGCCGTCAGGGTTCCCTGCGGCCGAGGACCCAAGGACCCGCCCCGCGCCCCTCCCAGATTACATCATAGAGCCCACCAGTCAGGGCCCGCGGGGCCCACCCGCACCCAGGCCACGTGCTCCTGGCACTAGCAAGTTCCCTGCTGGAAAAGGAAGCGGTGGCCAACTCAGAACGGCGGAGGCGGCCTGAGGCTCGCCTTTCGCTGAGGTATCAGCGGGCGGGAGGCGGCAGCCTAGACGTCGGACGCGCGCTTCGCCAACCGTCCGGCTCTCGTCGCTCGTGCCGCTTCCACGGAGAGGTCGCGGAGCAGGGGCAGGCGCGGATTGGCTCTCGGCGCTTTGGCCCGCCCCTCGGGGGCGCCCATTGGCTGGTGCGGCGCCCGCTGGCTGTGGGGACGCCCCGCCTTCGTGCCGGCCTTCAAGAGGGCGACGAGGAAGCGGCCACCTCCCTGCGCCCCGCCCCTCCGGCTTGCTCTGTGGCTCCTGCGGCTCCTCCCGGCTGCTCCCAGCTCCTCTCTGCCCTCTCCCGGCTTCCTGCGGCTCCGGCTTGGGCTTGGCGGCGGCGGGTGAGTGCTGGTGAGGTCGGGATCCGAGGGTCGGCCTCGTCACTGTCCCCCGAGACAGTGGCCTAGGTTCATGCGGTGACCGCTGGGGACCCCGCAGGTCCCGCCCGAGGCGGGGAAGGGCGGTGGCTGTTCGCCTGCGGGACGCCGGGGTGGCAGCCAGAGGGGGCCCGGTGGGGGGCCTGCGGGTGTGACCTTCGGAGTTTTCGCGGCGCCTTCTGAGGGGACGGTCGGGGGCGAGGCGGGCCAAGAGATCCCGTTTCAGGACGTTTGTGGCTGTGGAGCAGAGCGGCTTGCCTCAGCTTGGGCATGTGCTGAGTCCCGGCGCCGAGGGTCGGCTGCAGCCTGGGGCCTTGGGTGGGGTTCGGCGATGCAGAAGGACGCCAGGGACGTTTCTCCCGGCTTCAGGAGGGGCATCTGTGGATGTGGGAACTGAGAGCAGCCTCCGCGTGTCCGGTCTGGGGGGGTATGGGTGGGGCTGAGGGTGGTCCGGAGAATCTTAGCTCGAGTCCTTGTGTGCGTGGGCCCTGCGCAGTTTGGGGAATTGACGTGCTTCTGGTGTCTGGCTTTGGGAATGCAAAGGGGTCACTTTAAGGGTGCAAAGCCGGGAAACTTAGGGAGCAGGACTCGGAGGCCGTTGGAAACGTTACTCGGAGCAGAGATTGTAGTTAATTTAGCACACGGGACGAGCTCTTTTGGACTGTTACAGCCGGAGCTCAGCTTTAGTCGAGATTGCCTCCTGGGCGTGTTTGAGAGGTTTTGCTTATCTCCAGGATTGTGTAGATTAAGTGCGTTTGCTGCTTGGGGGAAGAGACTGATTTCCCCACAGGTTTGTGTTTTAGGAATCCACAACTCGCCCCCTCCCGGAGTGAGATGGGGTGGTGTAGCCTGTACTTCTCAGGGAACATTAGTGTTACCCCAGCTCTCTCCCGGAATCCCCCTTTCCCTCAGCCGGTCCAGTTGCAGTATTTCTCTTCAGGGCCCCTGCAGAGTTTCTTGCTCCCTGTGAGTGTCTCCCGCCCATTTCCCTACTGCTGCGCTTTTGGCAACGCTCTCTGCTTTTTCCCAGGGATGGTTGTGGCATTGCATCAGGGGATATTTGTGCTTGTAATTTGCTCACTCAGCCCAGGAGGAGGGGGAATAGTATGGTGCAGAGATGGGGGGCGGGAGGGTGACAAGCGGGAGGGGGGCGGTTGCCCGCAGCTTGGCTGGATAGGCAGAGCGATGGGTGTGGTGAGAGAAATACAGCTGCTCTAGGCCTATAGGGTAACACTGCGCAGTCATCAGCGCAGAGATTCAAAGACCAGCAACAGCAGCAGCTATTTTTATAAATCAATCCTGAATCCAAGTTGAGAGCACATGGATTTGGAGTGAACAGTTGTCAGGCCCTAACTATGACAGGCTGAGTGTTTGGAGGACAACACTACAGTTGCTAAGTAAGAGACTCCATCTATCTGTACAGTGCTGCAGGCACTTGCAACTTTGTAACTTAGCTTTTTCTCCACTCTCTAGAATGGGAGTGTGTTCAGGTGATGGCTTTTCAGTTGATGGAGTTCGATGGCCCATACTACTTCCTTTCAAAAGTGATATTTTTATCTCAGTCATGATCTCCTTTCACATTTAGCGTAAGTGATTAAAGCTATTGCTTTTTCGAGCCAGTACCACCTTCCAGGTACTTGGGTTCTCCTCCCCCTTGGAAAGGGAAATACTCATGCAAAACAAAACTCAGCAGAGGTTCCAGTGTGTGGTGAAAGTATTGGTGCCTTTGTACACAATTGGTTTTAATTGTCCACTGGCCCAAAATACCTCCATTGTTCCTGGTAGCCTAATCAGTGAAACAGTTGATTATGGTGTTGGAATGAGGGCAGTGAATGTTCTCAGGGATGTTTTAATCAAGTTATTGAAGCTCAGTGAGTTTGCCTCCTTTTCCTTTTGTTAACAGCACATTCACTAAAGTTAAAAAGTGCAAGGGTGTGCACCTTTTATTGTATTTTATTTACATTTTTTTTTTCGAGACAGGGTTTCTCTCTATTTTGGAAGCTGTCCTGGAACTAGCTCTGTAGACCAGACTGGCCTCAGATTCACAGAGATCTGCCTGCCTCTGCCTCCCAAGTGCTGTGATTAAACGCGTGAGCCACCAGTACCAGGTTTTTTTTTTTTAGTTTTTCAAGACCCGTTTCTCTGTGTAAAACAGTTCCTGGCAGGCTGGCCTTGAACTTAGATAATTGCTTGTTGCTGCTTCACTGGTGCCAGGATTAATAAAGCATGAACCACCACTGCTCACCGCCCCAATTTTCCTTCAAGATAGAGTATGTGCAGCTCTGGCTGTCCTTGAACTTGTTCCTTAGACCAGGCTGGCCTCCAACTCAGAGATGCACCTGCCTCAAGCCTTCTGAGTGCTAGGATTAAAGGCGTGCACCATAAAGGCATGAACCACTCCTGCTGGACTAAGCATCAGCCTTTCAAATGCTAGGGTTATTGTTGGTATATGTTACCATACAGCTTGGGGTGTGTCCCAATACTCTCCAATCCCAGGTTTAAAAACAAATCTGTTCTTATGTATGTTGCACTAAAATCTCAAATGTACAAATAAGGTTACAGTCTATATTAAAGTCATTGTTTACTGACAACCGAAGGAAGCACCTGGAATTTCTTTGCCTTGAGATAGGGGTCTTGTGTTGCCCAGGCTGGTCTGGAACTTTTGGATTCAAGCCATCTTCTTGCCTAGGAATATCCCACTTAAGTCTCCACATCTATCTTTGGGATTTCTTATAGAGTTTTACTGTAGACTTTTTTTTTTTCTCTCGAGACATGGTTTCTCTGTAGTTTTGGAGGCTGTCCTGGAACTTGCTCTGTAGACCAGGCTGACCTCCAACTCACAGCACTGCCTCCCGAGTGCTGGGATTAAAGGCATGTGCCACCACCGACCAGCTTTTTTTTAACTCTTGTATACATCTAAAATTACTTCAAAAAAACAAAAATTTAAGCTGTATTTCTTTGCAGAGTGTGGTAACACATTTCCAGTACTTAGAAAATGAAAACAGCAGGAGGCAGAGACAGGCGGATTCTCTGTGAGTTCGAGACCAGCCTGGTCTACAAGAGTTAGTTCCAGGATAGCCTCCAAAGCCACAGAGAAACCCTGTTTTGAAAAACCAAAAAAAAAAAAAAAAAAAAAAAATCATCTGCAGTTCTTTTTTTAAAATTCTGTGCAGCTCCAGTATTCGTGTTATAACTATTCAGTGACACTTGTTTTGTTCCACTTAAAAATTCTTTTTTTTTTCAGCTGGGTGGTGATGATACAAGTCTTTAATCCCAGCACTTGGGAAGCAGAGGCAGGGGAATCTCTGAGTTCCAGAACAGCCTGATAAACAGATAGGACAGATAGGGCTACAAACAGAGACCTTTTCTCACAAAGTTCTATTTTTCCAAACCAAACAGCCACTCTCCTCTACTTTTCTTCAAATATGATTTCTAAACTGTCTGTTTTGTGCGCACCACTCTGTGCATGCTAGTTTGTCAGTTTGTTAAATATAGTTTGTTCTAGATGCTTTGTTAAACATTAGAAATGGAAATGCATTATTAGTGGGCATGTAGTCCCAGACATTGAAGACTGGGGTAGGAGAATTGCTTGAACTCAGGATTTGAAAGCCAACTTGGTTATATCAAACTCAATCTAAAAAATAAAAGTCCATATGATCCCTGCTCTGAGAATTAAACAGCATTGTTAGTTTCCATCAATGCTACTTTAGAATAAATTCTTTTCAGACTTGTTTGTTCTTTCATGTGTACTGGGGATTAAACCTGGGACCTTGAGCATTATGAGTGTTTAACATTCTACTACTGAGCTATATCCCCGGCCTGCAAGCTCTCTTTCTTGCTATTCTTTTCATTTTTTGTTAGATTCATTATTATTTATTATGTTAAGTTACTATTAAGTATTGCTGCATGTGCGTCTGTACATTCTTGGTGCCTGTAGAGGTCATTGGATCCCATGAGACCAGACTTAGAGGCAGTTCTGAGCTCAGCCTGGATGCTGAGAATCAAACTCAGGTCTTCTGCAAAACCGACAAGTGCTATTAAATTGCTGAGCCAACTCTTGGCCTTCTTGTTACTTTTCAATGATAGTTTATACTTGTCACTTATCTCCATTTTTTTTCCTTAGAAATTCTATGAAGCCACATCTTTGTCTTCTTGTTAGTTTCCCCCTTAAAACTTTTTTTTTAATATGGATGTTTTACATCTTTAGAGAATGAATCCCAGGACTGGGCTTGTAGCTCAGTAGAGTACTTGACTAGTATATAGAATTAAAATTTTAGCACCCAATAGATCTGGCATGATGGGACATATCTATAATCCTAGCAAAAGAATCAGAAGTTCATGGTCATCATAAGCTACATGGTATATTCCGTGCCAACCTGGGCTATATGAAACCTGTTCTCTATTTTTAAAACAGGAGGTTAGAGCCATCTTGGTGGATATGAGCATTTGCTGTTCTTGTAGTGACCTAGGTTTTGCTTATACTCATCTGTAACTCTAGTTTAGGGGACCTGATGCCCTCTTGTGGGTACTACTAGGCACACAAGTCATACATGCAGGTAAAACACTCATAGACATAGAATAAAAAGAAATAAATCTTAAAAAATAAAACAAAAGGGGTCCTGTGAAGTAGCTCAGTGAATAAAAGGTGCTTGATTTGGTCCCTGGAGCCTATGTGGTAGGAGGGGAGAACTGACTCCTGAAAATTGTGCTCTCACCTCCACTTGCATGTCAATGTATATGCATACACATAGAATAAATCTAATTTCAAAAAGGAAGAACCGCAGGATTTCTCCTCTTTTGTGTTTTGGCCTTGTTCTCTTCATGGTGTGCAGTAATGATGCCAGCTGAGATTGTCAGTGCAGTGAACCTAAACTGATGGCATAGGGCAGATTTTGCCATTTTCCTAGGTCTGGCGCTGGTCATTCCATACTTGTTTAACTTGCCTGTGAAGTTCACAGAAATTTTCCTTTCTGTGATTGCCAGTTACTTTAAATTTCTCAGTGACACTATGCTTTAACCACAAAAATCAGTTGATGAGAATCAGTCATTGTACTTCATACTTGTAGTTCCAGCACCTGAGATGCCAAGGTGACAAAGTGGGTGCAGTCAGTGTAAATTTTAGGTCGCCTTGAGCTATCTAATGAGTTCCAGGCCAACTTCAGCTACAGAGTAAGACCCAGTCTCAAAAAACTTACATACATACAAACCATTCAAACAAAAAAATGCAAAACAACCCCTCCCAAAAAACAAACAAACCAAAAACCAAAACAACCAGAAAATTATGTCAGGTGTGGTATGTTAGTATGGTACACTTTTTTTTTAATGTTTATTTTATTTACTATGCATACAATGTTCTGCCAGAAGAGGGCACCAGATGGTTGTGAGCCACCATGTGGTTGCTAGGAATTGAACTCAGGACCTCTGGAAGAGCAGCCAGTGCTCTTAACCTTTGAGCCTTCTCTCTAGCCCATGTATGGTACAGTTTTAATCCCAGCCTTGGGGAGACAGTAGTAGGCAGCTCTCTGTTAGTTCCAGGATCTACATAAGGGAGTTCCACGCCAGCCAGGGCTATGTAGTAATTTTGTCTCAAAAGAAAAGAAAAAACAGAGACTATGATTTGGATCCTGGCTTTATAAGGAAGGAAGGACCCGGGTTTTGCCTTCTTTTTCAGCACTGCTGATGTTCTTGATACTGTCAGCCCAGACATGCAGCTGTGACCATTCTGGTCACACAGATCTCCCTTCCTTCCTTCCTTCCTTCCTTCCTTCCTTCCTTCCTTCCTTCCTTCCTTCCTTCCTTCCTTCCCTCCCTCCCTCCCTCCCTCCCTCCCTCCCTCCCTCCCTCCCTCCCTCCCTCCCTCCCCCCTTCCCTTTTTTGGTTTTTCAAGACAGGGTTTCTCTAGCTTCGGAGGCTGTCCTGGAACTTGCTCTTGAAGACCAGGCTGGTTTCAAACTCCCCTGCCCTCCCGAGTGCCAGGATTAAAAGTGAGCGCCACCACCTCCCGGCTGCTTTGCCAGTTTCTGTCCATTGCCCTAAGGAATTAAAACATTTTTTATTTTTTTGTTTTTATTTATTTATTTGTTTATTGGTTTTTCGAGACAGGGTTTCTCTGTGACTTAGGAGGCTGTCCTGGCACTAGCTCTGTAGACCAGGCTGGCCTCGAACTCACAGAGATCTGCCTACCTCTGCCTTCCAAGTGCTGGGACGCCTGGCTCACTTATTTTTTAAATTGTAAAAACTAAGTTTTTTATTTTATTTTTTTAATTTCTCTGTGTAACCCCAGTTGTCCTGGAACTTTCTCAGTAGACCAGGCTGGGCCTTGCCTCTGCCCCTCAAGTTCTGGGATTAGAGGTTTGTGCCACTGTTGTACCCAAATTCTGAACCCAAAAATAACCAAGAGACCCTATCTGATGCAAAATAAGAGATTCTTTGATAATGTAATGAGTTAACTGTATTAACTCCGTTCCTCTGACACAGCTGGTGAAGTGAGAAGGACTCAGGGACCTTGGGGCAGGGAATTTATTGAGGTGGAGCAAGGGGAGTGTCTGGGTCCCCAACAATCTCAGGATCGGTGCACTTCCAGGCTTCAGGAAGTGTTGATTGGCCAGCTGGTTGCTGTGACCTATGGCCTTCCCAGGGTGGTCGCTATGCTCTGTATGTCACTGTTAACTTAAAGCACATCTACAGCCTGCCATCTAACTTCTGATTGGTTCCTTATCACATGGAGGGTATCTGACCTTCTAGTGAGTAGTAGGTGGTTGGGCAAGGTCAGG